GTTGGTGCGCCCAGGCGACACGCGCTGGTCGTCGTTCTGGCGCACGCTGCGTCGCTCGATCGACATGTCCGGCGCGACGACGCAAGTCATCCAGCATGTGCAGACGGACGGCAGCAAGTCGGAGCAGCGGATAGAGGCGACGCGCCTGCTCGATGGCATGTGCACGTTCAAGTTTGTGTTCATCTTGCACCTAATGGAGAAGATGCTGCTCATCACGCATGACCTGTGGCAGGCGCTGCAAACGAAGGACCAGGACATTATCAATGCGTTGCGGTTGGTTGATGGCGTCGTCGAAGCGCTGACAGAGATGCGCGTTACCGGCGACGACGACCTGCTCCACAAGGTGCAGCGGTTCTGTGAGACCCACAAGATCGAGGTGCCCGATATGGCGGCCAACTTCGTCCGACCTGGCCGGCTTCGTCGCGTTGGGCACATGAACACCAATGATCATGTTTTCCGTGTCGACCTGTTCTAGGCAGCGATCGATAAGATGCTGGCCGAGTTCGTCGACAGATTCAGCGCCGAGTCGATGGAGATGCTCCGCCTAGCAGCATGTATCTCCCCACGCAAGCTCTTCGCCTCGTTCAATGCCGACAAGCTCGTGGAGCTGGCCCGCAAGTTCTCCATGATCGACTTTCCTGACGTCGACCTAATGCTTCTCGATCAGCAGCTGGTCCACTTCGCACTTCGGCAGGGAGATAGAGAAGGACAAGCTATTGAAGAATGTAGACATGCTCCCTGAACTATCGGTCATGCTGGTGCAGACCGGCCGGGCCAAGGTCGCCTACCACCTTGTCTACCGATTGCTGCGGCTGATACTGACGTTGTCGTTGGCGACGCGTTTGCGCACCTCAATGCTGCCATGCTGCTGTATGTCGAGGAGACTTCTGCGACGATCAAATGATGTCATACTTCCAGGCCACGCGTCGAATAAAAAGCAAAGGACAAGTCCTTACTTAATAACAACTCAGATCATTTTTTATTGCTGGAGGGGTTGCCCCCCCTACCTGAAAATCCTAGCTCCGCCTTTGCCCATGACCTCCTGTATATCAGGCGAGGGAGTTAACATCTCCAAGCCACCGTGGCGGCCAAGGGCTGCTTCGTGACGTCTCGTATTCACGTGCAGTGCGGCTCTTGAAATAATGAGTTTGTTTTTTTATGTAAAAAAAAGTTACCGAATTCAGAAAAATGTATCTTCTTGTTATTTCGGTTGCTGACCCCCTAGCCTAATCGAACCTTCTCCGGGTGGACATGCCCAGGCCCTCAGCCAATCCACAGCTGGGTGAGCACCTCCCTGACACCGTACGGGAAAAAATTCGCCCATTTCTAGGCGATGCGGTGAGGGTTGGTTTAGGCGGGGAGCGTAGAAGTACCGAACAACACATTTTTTCTGCACTGCCCTCTTTGACCCACCACGTAGCCCCGCAGCCGATAACCAGACATGGTGCTCGTCCATCCAAGCATTGTCCAAGACTCCTAAAAATAAATCGTGATGAGTTTATGAGATCTGACGATACTCGGTGCGTCGTAAGTGCTTTTGGCCATAAGTGTGGTGGTTACAAGGGGCAATAAACAAAGCGCGTGGGGTCTTCACCCGTAGACTCAATGGGCCCAACATTTGACACCAGCCTTGACAGGGAATGCAGCCAGCCACCTGTGTATTGCGGCTCTTGAAATACTGAGTTTTGTACCGGATTCTTCTTGTTACTTTGGTTGCCGACTCCTGCTCTAGTGCCACGATAACAATGAACCAAAGGCTCCTCCCACTATAAACTGGACAATGTACCAAAGACTGCCTCCACTATGACCTGGACACGGGCTATTCGCAAGTGACCTGTGAAGACCGGCACGGGGTGCAACTGTTGCAGCCTGTCCCCCTGTTGATAATCTTGAGACTACTCGCTTTTGATGGGATTATCTCCCACAAGGCGGGCGAGCGCGCCATTTAAATCGGAGGCTTTGTGTTGGTTGCAGTGGGGCCGCACGCTGCGGCTTGATTCTCAAAAAAGATTATTCCGATGCGGTCTACCAAACGCCAAATGTCAATCCGTGGCACGCATCTGGCAGACGGATGGCCCATGGACTGGAGTTTGACAACTCATTTTCCCCCTGCCCCCCCCGCCCCATATATTGGTGGATGTCTCTCTCGCTCTGCTTTACTCGCTGAGGAACATAACCCATCATCACGCCAACTCCGGTCATCCCCACAGCAGCTTCTGGCTAGCTGTCGAACAAAGACTTTGACTGCATCGCACGCTTTCGGATGAGCTTCTGCGGCCGTCTGGAACGCTCTTACTTCCGAAATCAGGACGCCACTGGGAGCCATGCACTTCTAAAATCTAGGTAGCAAACTCATTTATTTAGAAACGCCTTGTGTTTAGTTTGTACACGTACAGTACCTTTAACTTGTCTCGCACCATACGTAGACAACCGTGCCAAAACACACCTCGGATGAGCACGGTTGGCTACGTACAGTCTCGAAAAGAAGTTCAACATACAGATGTAGTGTAGTAGCGCCGGCTGGTGGACATCGGCGGCAACTGTGGACAGACAGTACACGGTGCGTTGGCAGAGAGGAACTACGGCAAGGGTCACTAAGGACCCCATCTGGAGGCCCCTGGAACCGGCTAGCGGAGCCAGGCCGCGCTGGGAGCATAAAAGGAGTCGAGAGCAGGAGATCGAGGCTGCCGGTTCTGGGAGTGGACTCGTCTCGTCGTTGCTGTCGTCTTGTCGCCGTCGTCGCTCAACGTCTCCGCTAGATATTGCGCTACGAAGGATAGTAGTTGGCTATTTCAGTCAGCGCCGTCAGTGTTGGACGGCTCGTGTTGTGTATAGGCTGAGCTAAACTACTGTGGAGAGTGTGGACGAGACCGTGGAAGTTGTTAATGAAGGTGCCTCCTATAAACTCTGTCTCCGAATCGTTGACACTACACATACATATGTAGAGACAGTGCACCGACTGGCAGCCATAAGGGATAATTACGGGTGGGAGAACAGCACACAAACGGAAGAGAGCATGCACGTGAGCGACCACAAGGGGGGCTAACTAGGCTAAGGGTCAGAGGGGATCTATCCGGAAGCTCCCAGAACCCACTGGAGAGTGCGAGAAGAGAGGCGTGGCCAGGCCACGCTGGGGGGATAAAAGGCGGAGAGGAACGGGGTTCTGGGCACAGTGGGGTTCAGGGTCCTGGTGGTCATCGCTGTCATCATCGTCATTGCCGTCATCTCTTCGTCGCCGTCATCGCGATGCAGTCAACCCGCTGTATAGTTAGACATCGCCGTCGTCGCTATATAGTCAGCCAGCTATATAGTCAGCGCTAAGTAACCTGTGACTGTTATTAAGTCGTAGCTGTATTATGCCGAGAAATAATAAAGCCCTCTACAGTTCGTGTCTCTGAAGTAGTTACGTTACACACATACAAGCGAGGTGCCATATCCATTCTCAAGGACGTCGGGGGATGGTGACCCTCCATTGAGCTCGTGACTCAACAACGCTGCCCAATATACTCCCAGATGTGATCGTGAATGGGCCCACGTTTCAAACGACGTTTTGCATCTCACGAATGTGCCAGAGATGTATAACGCCGTCTGTACTTACAGGGTGCTGGTTTAGGTTCGAGTCGGCTGGACAATCGTTTCTCGAGCAGCAGCAGTGATCAGGGGATGAGTGTCACATGTGAGTGGTTTGATGATAATTATTTGAGGCCACAGCCGCTCTATGGCCCAGACAAGAAAATGTCAAAGTGATGTTCTTCTCGAATGAGCACCGAGGCGGTGGTGCTTCACCTCCTGTATACCGCCCTGAGCCAGTGGTGGGAATTCCATGTTCGTATGGCGGAGGCGAGTCTATCTATAGAACCACCGTGGACTTCCATCACAAAGTGGGGTACACAAGTGAGGACTTGAACTCCGTTGCTTGAACAATGACTTGAACCCTCCGTCTGGGAGCCGCTCGTTCTACCGCCCCCAGCATCGCAAGTCGGGTTGCATCTCATCCGTTTGAAGGATACCCACCCCCAGTGGTTGCTGTCCCTACGTGGCAAAAGTTAATTCTGCAAGTGGGCATTAGTCTATGTGTTTCCCAATGACGTAATTTGCGGGTATTTAAAAAAAAATTGAGAACATAACGTGTGTACGTTTAAGTTCTTTCCCATCGTACGTAGCCAACCGTGCTAATCGGAAGGGAACACTATGGCCAACCCTATGGAATGAAGACACTGCCTGCAAAGTGACCTATTATATACTTTTTTCCTTTTAAGGCTACAGTTTTATTGACGAACGTGTTGAGTTTTATTGTTTATAAGATTAGGGACCGACAATCGCTGCATCTTTTTAACACCCTCGGTGAAACAAACGGGCATGGCGTTTGTGTACAACGCGCACTACCCCGCGCTATTGACCAGGGCGGCCATCCTGGATGGCGAACCGAGAACCCCCCTGCAACGAGCAGCAAACTCGCCACCACTGTGGTTGCTGCGTGGTGATCGTTGCATTGGCGACGGCAGGGTTCCCCGGGACAAAGTCTTGCGTCCTTACAAACGAAGACATCTTCTCCTGGAAGCAGTGGCGACAATTCACTTACTCTACAGGACGTCTGCCAAAGAACGTCACCAAGCTGCAGCGTGTACAACATTGTTTGGCTGATCTCTTCAAGGAGCATAACCCATCACGCGAACTAACCACCGCATCTTGCGCGCTTTGCTGGCCGTCTGGAACGCTCTTCCTTCCGATATTAGGAAGCCAATTGGAGCTATGTGCATTTTTAAATCATCATCTAGATGGACAAACCAATTTCTTGAGAATAACTCTTTGATTTTAGTTTGTCGTCTTGCGTCCTTACAAAGGAAGACATCTTCTTGGAAGCGGTCGGTGATGATTCGATGCTGAACGACGATTCAAAGGCACCCCTGGGGAAAAAAACCCAAAACGTCTAGAAGCGCACAGGCGGCGGATTGTTTTAAACGTGTATTAAAAACGTGACTGCGTGAGCCGCCCGTGGCGTTTTTGTTTTTGCTTATATATTTAAAATGCATAATAACGTACATTACAGTCATTGCTACAACTGGCAGCAAAAAAAAACAAACGGAGGGGAACGAGGACGAATGTTAATGTTACGACGACAAATCAACAGGTGAAGTCTTCACGTTGTGTACACGGTGTGTGGGGTGGAGGGGGGGGGGGAAGTGCACACAACGTAATCGGACGTTCAACGCCGCGCACGGTACCAGCCACACACACGCACGCAGACAGGGTGACCACGACGACAACGACGCACCGATAGCAAAAATTTTCCATTAAAAGAAAAAAAACAATAGCAGCCGACCAACCCACTCAAAGAGGCCGTCGACTGCGGTTCCTTGCGCCGGAAAGCTGTTTTGTTGGAGCGCTATTTGCGTCGAATTGGTGAACGCGCTTTTCTTATAATATAGTACAAAAAAATGTTATTACTTCGCGAAGGCCGGGTAGTATACAATAATAACGGTGCGCGCTTCTCCGTGCTGTACAGCCGCACTGCCGGAGTTCATTCACGGGGCATTCAGATGGGCGCCACGGTGGCTCGGAGATGTTAACTACCTCACGGGTCTACAGGAGGTCGTGGGTTCAATCCAGTCCCTGACGCCTGCTGCTGTATATTTGCAGTTTGCGGTGACTCTCTCCTGGTGGTCACGTGGATTTTTCTCCGGGTCCTCCGGGTTTCTCCCACAATCATTGAAAATTTTCGACATGCGTTTGGGAGTATTTGGCCGGTAAAATTTTGACGTGATGATGAGCCACTTTGTTGAGCTATCAATTGTGATGGCCAGGTCGTTTCTGAAAAAAAAGCTACATAGCTCAGTGGGCCTTACCCGGTAAAACAAAGTGTAATCGTTCAAATTAGATGACAAGGTGATGGAGGTGGTGTTTAGTACACCGTGTGTGTACTTGACAACTTTCACGGTGCACAACCTTCCGATTTACTTTGGTCTGCAGGCCCTCCACACCCATCCATCCTACCCCGCATATTACCAGCCCCAAACACAAAGGGGATTTGGGTGGCGATGTTTTATACACACCGCACCAGGAACTAATTTGAGGCCGAGTCGACCTAGGGGAGGCCCAAGCCCGGTCCAGATAATCCATCACTGGTGTTGGCCGTGAGCGGGAATCAAGCCTGGGGCTCTCTGGGTTCGTAGCGCAGCGCGCTAACCGCTACACTACCGCCCCCCACCCACACAAACAAAACCAGCTGTCACGTTTTTTCTTATAAACCAAGAGGAAATGGGATAATTTCCTTCAGGCGGATCCAGGGTTATTTAAATAAGCCGTCTTTGTCAGGTTGGGAGGGGGCGCAGGGAAGTGTGGAAAATTGAACGAGGATTTGTGTGTGTGTATGTGTCATCATGTCACTGGGAAGTCGCCGTGGGATGGGAATGGCTCACGTCAACACTGCCTACGGAGAGGGGGGGGGGGTTAGCGAGGATGGGGGGGGGGGGTATGCAGTTCACGAAGCGATGCTATTTTACATTTTTGATCTTTCACGCAGCGTATTCAATCCATCGCATTTTGCGATGTGTGCGTTGGCCCGTCCCCTCCTCCACACACGCGACCCGGGCGAACGTCGGGTGAACGTCGGGCGAACCGTCGCCCGTTCACCATCCGGTCCACGGGGTCAGGGGAATTCTTCACGCAACCTCCGCAGCCCCCCCCCCCCCCAACAATTCCCCAAAATTGCCGAGTACACCCTAACCCCAATGCCTGTATCAAGCGCACAACGTGCTGCTGCGTAGAGGTGCGCACAACGGGGAGACGAAACAGCGTTGTTCGAGTAGCAGTGGACAGGGTCGTTATGGGGGGGGGGGGCGCCGTGAAGCCTCTGGCCAGGGGGGGGGGCAGCTTCACCGAACACAGCAGCAGCAGCGGTGGTGGGGGTGCTACACCCTCACCGCACCACCTCCATCCCAACGGTGCCGAGCAAGCCACCGTGGTGGAGCTGTCAAGCGTGCAGGGCAGTGCAACTACCAGCACAGCAGGAGATTTTACACACGAGTGTGTATATATTGTTTTAGATGTACAGGGTGCTTCAAAAAATGTTAACACTTCTGAGAATTTGCAACAATACCACAAGCAATGTGCCTCCGGGCTCTGGAGACCACCTGGAGAAGATTCCAGGCAACGTGTTGACAATGGAGACTGACTTTTTCAAGCTATTAATGTACATTTGTTATCATGTTACAGTGTATTATCCGTTCTTTTTCCATCAACATCGATCGTCCCATGTGAGTGTTAACATTTTTTGTGAAGCACCCTGTATATATCGCTCGAGAGAGTGAATATGGGCGAGCCCCCCAAAAGAGATTGGTGTTATTGCAGCAGGGCCCCCCCCCCACTACCGCCCGCCCTGGCGTGTAGCGGAATCCCGTGGTGCGTCCCGAGTTGTCGAATGTGGTTTTACCCAAATCGTGTGGCAGCGTTTCTACATCTATAGATATGCGTGTGTGTATGTACGCATGTACAAGCGGCTTGTTCTAGAGTAGTAGTTGCGTGGTTAAAAAAAAAACGCGACGCTACGGGCAAACAATGGGGGGGGGGGGGGGGGGGGTAGAAAAAGTGAACGCAATAAAAATTTTATAATGACACGGCAGCGAAACATTTAATAACGCTTTTAAGTAAGCCCACAGTGCAAGCCAGCGTGCTGCTGCTGCTGTTAACTGCTGCTAGCTGCTGCTGCTGCAAGTGATCGATCCTGCTGCACACGGCGGGAATTCGGCGTCAAGACCGCGCGCGCGCTCGCCTCTGCTCGTCCTCATGCATCCGGCAAACGCGAACGGCCAGACGTTGATGTTCACCACCCAACGTTGGCGCGACGTCTGACGCGAAACTTTGCTCCCGACCGAGAAAGCCACGAGGGGAGGGAGAGGCTATCAACAGCAAAGCCATGCTTGGTTGGAAAATGACATCGAAAAGGCGTGTGCCAAGAACTACGACATTTAATGATACTAATTATAATAACGATTAGAAAGACGTGTAAACCACGGCTACGCTTTGTTCTTTAGTCGTGCTCGGTGCAGAGATGGCTGGCTCGAACGCCTATGATCCACGCGCAGCTTAACTCCTGGAAATAGCAACATTATTGTCTTTTATTATTATTTATATTTCTATCTCTGGTGTATCTCTCGCTGTGAACATCATCATCAACAAAGGCAGTAACCCACCGCAGTTAACACCACCACGCGACACACACCCACGGCGTCAGTGCCCACGAGGCAATAATTGGCAGAGACAGAGAGATCACGCCAGAGAAGGTGAGGGGAGAGAGGCAGGGTGGTGGTGGGGGGGGGGGGGGGGCAGTGAAAAAAACAAACAACTTATCGACTACAGAAGTTACACTTTTAAATTCAGAGCTGTAAACTTGTCACGCCATCCTCGCGAGATCGGGCAAGGTGCCCCCCCCCCCATCCCACCCTCGGGCGTGCGGCAGCGCTGCTTCGTCACGACGACTCTCAAAATCGACCGAACATCGCCGCGGTGTCCTCGGGGGGGGGGGGGGGGGGGGGCTACGCCGTCTCGCTCCGTCCGATCTCGGGGAAAGTGGCTCAAGAGGTTGCAGACACCGGACTGGCGCTCACAAGGGAGATCGCCGGAATGGTCGGCGGGGCGGAGGGCAAAGTCAGCGTTAACGCACAGACGCACCGCTGGAAAGGGTCGAAGTCACGCCGACCCCTGAGAAAAGTGGCTGAGACCAACGAAGATTTTCGCTCGGGACTACAGAGGGCGGGGGGAGTGATTTAGGCGGGACTCGGAGAGAGAGGGAGCGGATGCAAACGGGCAGCATTTGTGGCAGAGAGTGAAGTTTCACGGCTGAAAAATTTGCAGTTTTGGAGGAATTCGTGTTTTAGTCAGGGAACGGCCGTTTCGTCCCATCTATTCGCTTGGAATCTTGGAACAGCGATTATTTCGCGAGAGCATTGGCCTCTCCATTGGCTACGTGTTGGGTCACGCGAGCGAAGGGTTTCAGACTAATTCGACGCCTGCGACTCTTGTATTCGGGTTGATGGGGCTCTTCGCTGCTGCGTGGATGCTCCTTGCCGATTGTCATTCTGTTGCCTCGCCGACTGTGGCCGTGTCCGGCACTTCACTGCAACCACCGCAGCCTTGTGCAACACGGACACACGCGTCCTGCACGAGCACACGGTCTGGAGCGTCGTTTTCCGAGGGCTTCGGGAGTTCCCACCGACAACTTTCAGTGGCGATTATCGGAGCCGGTCTTGGGCCTCCCCTAGGTGGACTCAGCCTCAAATGAGTACCTGGTGCGGTGGTGCTGGCCACCCACCCCCATCGTGCGCCATGCCGGCCTTCACATGCGCTGCTCGCTCACAAGCACTTGCCTCCAACAGCCTGTTAAGGCTACACGGGGTATCTTTGTCTTTGTACCGAGTACACCACTCACGGGCCAACTTTGGGTCATCAAAGCGACAGGGAGAGATGTGACCTGGGGAGCTGGGCAGTGAGCCAGGAGGCAGCTGTCTGCACACCACGTTGACGAGTGGGACCCCCGCTCCTGCTGTTATACTTCTGCCAAACAGCACACACACACACTCTCTCTCCTTCTCTCTCTCCCGCCGTTTGCCACCATGACCCAAGATGCTCTTGACACCAACGTGAATAGGAGCCGAGCCCCGGAACCCCCACGGTGCCACTGCCGAGGTTTCTCCGAGCCCAGGTGCGCGTCGTTTTGACTTCACGGACCATTTTTCCCCTTCTGGAAACGGATTGTTACATTTTTACCTTTTACCAGGTATGGGACCCACTGAGCTATACAGCTCTTTTTCAGAAGCGACTCTATCACAAATGAGAGCTCAACGGAAGTGGCTTATCGTCACGTGGACATTTGTAGCAGCCAAATTACTCTAAATGCACGTTGGTTCTAAATGTGGAGAGAAAAACCAGAGGACCCGGAGAAAAATCCACGTGACCAAGGGGAGAGAGGCACTCCAAATATACAGCAGCAGGCATCGTCAGGGTCGGGATCGAACCCACGACCTCCTGTATACCAGGCGAGGGAGTTAACATCTCCTAGCCACCGTTTGTCACCGACGGTGTCTGTCTTACGAGCCAGCAGAGCGCATCTGGGGAGCGCTCTGTGTGTGCATTCTCTGTCTGTGGTGGCCTCCTTGAGATGCGTATGTATCGATCTCTCCATGCACAAACAAGTGGCAACAAACCCTAGCGGCGTCTATAAAACGATGCACTCGCGTCATTTGGCCTTTGAATCACGAGCAGGCGTGCAGTTTTTTCATTGTGGGCTTTGGCTCTTCGAATGACACCGCATACTTTGACCGTCTTCTGAGACTTGTCATCGGCACAATCGAATCATCCCACGATGGATTGACACGCGAAAGGCAAAATTGTTTTTTTTAGCAGCCACAAACAATGACGCCCGTCGTAACTTCTGGTGTTGCAACTTTTGGGGGACGAAAGAGTTCCGGAAAATGAATCGCCAATTGTGCAAGAAGAAGGAACGTAGCAGATTGCTGTTAAACGGCTGTGACAAATCAACGAGCACAACCTGCCTAAGATTTCCAGACGGCCGTCAACTCCTCACTGTGGCGCTCACCAATCCTCCTCCCATCTCCCATGCCTCACCTCTCTCGCTCTCTGCTACCCTCAACCCGGGCTCTCAAGTCCAGAGCTGGTGGCCGAGTCTGTGTGTCGGAGGCGGTGCGAACGTCCCGTGAGCTTGACAGGCGTTTGCGGCTACGGCCGGGCGCGAGCTGTCTGCGTGAAAAACAACAACCTCAAATCCAAGGGCCAACCACAGTCGTTCCTGCAAGGCCACTGCCTCTAGTTCAACTTGCTCCTCGCTTCTATTCGGTGATCTGCACTCAACCTTATCCCACCCCGCCTCTGGGACGCAATCTCTCTCGTCTGTGCACGAGACCCGAGACTCGGGGTAAGGGGAAAAACGCAGAAAATGTGTCATTTTTGTCGTTGCAATTTAGTCACGGGAAACATTTCAAATCTTTCCAGATCTGGGCAGATGACAGCACACAGCAGGCCAACACCTGGGAAACCGATGCCACGGGGCGTGCGCTGCCCACTCCTACAGCGGGGTGCTTCTCCCAACTCCCCCGCGGGAAACCACCGGGGGGGCGGCTGCAGCCGACGAGCCGTCAACTTCGCGTCCAGCCGGCTCGGGAGCTGAGCTGAGCGCGCTCAAGACACGGGAATGCGGTCCCCGCGTGCCGTGGGTCCCCGCGTGCCGTGGGTCCCCGCGTGCCGTGGGTCCCCGCGTGCCGTGGTCGCTCATCCCACTTCTGCCGCGGCAAGAGCTGCCGTCGCAGCAAGAGCCGTCTCGTCGTCCGTGCGGCGAGTGAGCGACGAGCAAGTGAGCGGCGAGCGAGCGAGAGGAGACGTGGAATGAACTCGCGGGTGACCCACGTCGTTGTATCGTGAAATTAAGGGGAGCATTTCCCCACGAGGCCTGCATGAAGCGACGCACGGCAACCGGTCGACGTGGTGATTGATTAAAGGTCGCCCACAGGTGGCCAGCAGAGAGAAAGAGGAAAGATGAAAGGCTCGGCTGACGAGGAGGCGGCGCGCGCACACTCGTAGTAGTCGCTCCGTTAGTCTGCATCCCTCGCCGTCTACCACCCACCCCAACCCCCGCGTGTCGTGTCGTGGTGTTAACGGAACTAGTGCAAAGGCAATGGCAGAAAAAAACACTCATATCACCCCCCTCCCCCCCGGCACTCCCCGTACCCTCCCGCTCCCTCCCTCTCTCACTCCCCCACATCATCTCCGCCTCTCCACGACTCTGTCACAAGTTCTGCTGCGTAAAACTCACTGGAACAACAAACATTTTTTTAAAAATGTTTTTTTTTTTCTCTTTTTTTATGTAACAACATTGTCCCACTTTACTCATCAACTTGTTGACAATAATAATGATAACCATATTAATAATATCAATAATACACCATTCACGTTGTAGCCTTTAAGCGAAGGCCAGGAGGCAGGATTGAAGCTATTCTAGAATGCTCGCCATGAAGTCCAGGAATCGCTTGGAATACTGCTCGGGGTTCACCGTCGAGATTTCCGCTCCAGCCTGCGTACAGATAACACCACACACACCATCAAAATCATCATTATCGTCATCGTCGTCGTTGTCATCGTGATCATCCTCATCGCTGTTGTCATCGTCATCATCATTATTGTTGTCATCATCATCGTCGTTATCATCATTATCGTTATCATCATCGTCACTGCCATCGTCATTGTCATCATCATCGTTGTAATCATCATCATTTTTGTTGCCAGTTTTCATCATCGTTGCGACGATCAAACCGCATGACGCATCCAACCGCTCAGGCTGTGTTGATGACGGCAAACACTGCCAACTAAATTCGTATTCATACCTGGAATGTGACTCTCCCCCCCCCTAGCTAGCCTCGGACACACACGCACACACGCACACACAGACTCACACACACACACGCGCGCACACACGCACACACACGCACACACACACACGCGCGCACACACGCACACACACGCCCGATGCGGTTCACCCAACAAACACCCGCGCTACGGAGGCGACAGCGCAAGAACGGCTGTGGGTGCTACGGCCCCCGTGTGTGCGTGTGTGCGTGTGCGCGTGCGTGCGTGTGCGTGCGTGCGCGTGTGCGCGTGTGCGCGTGTGTGTGTGTGCGTGCGGTGCCGTGTAGAGTTCGGTGCTCGCGACAGAGGTGGTCGTGTGATCCCAGCAGGACCACATCCCCGATTAGCATGGTTGGCTACATTCGGTGCAAAAGAAGTTCAACATACGTACATACACCTTGTCAGAGCGTATGTTAACTACCTCGTCTGATATACAGGAGGTCGTGGGTTCGATCCTGACCCCTGATGCCTGCTGCATATTTGGAGTTTGCGGGTGTCTCTCTCCCCGTGGTCGTGTGGATATTTCTCCAGGTCCTCACGGTTCTTCTCCTCCACATTTAGAATCAACGTGCATTTCGAGTTATTTGACTAGTATTAATTTCCAAGTAATAAGCCACTTCGTTGAGCTATGATATGTGACCAGGTTGCTTCTGAAAAAGCGCTATACAGCTCAGTGGAACCTTACATGGTCAAATAAAAATTTAGTTTATTTTAGCTTTAACGTCTATGGAAAATGGCGGTTTACACCACCACCACCACGCGCCAAAAAGGTTCCCGGACAAAAGAGAAAGCGTTAAACTGGTTTCACCGTGGGGCGATTCTTCACTCTGCTTCGGGCGTGAGCAAATGCACTCAAGATTAAGAAACACGTGACCGCGTGTGATGAGGTCGGATTCATGGATGTCTCCTGACAGCTACGGCTATGTCTATGGGGTACTTTTGTGCCAGTACTATCAAAATGATGGAAAAACACAAGAACAGGCAATAACACAGGAGGTGTTAAGATGTTCAAACACCAACTAGACACTCACAACTATTGCAAGGGATCAAGTCTGCCTTAACCACCCATAATTGTGGCAAAACATGCAAACCAATTGGCCTCCACCAGAAACGGCCTCCCCCCCCTACGGCCTCGTGTCACCAACCGGTGTTAGACCAGAGAACGACGCCATGAGGCGAACAGCACAGAGGACAACAACGCCACTATATCGAATGTCTTCATCGCCCGGCTTGAGCGGCCAAACCGCCACGCGCAAACACTCTACTGGGTGCGGCGGCGTTCAATTGGCCAAGGCGCGTGGGTGACGGGTCGGACTCGCGGCACTGCCACCCGGTGACGGCTGCAGTGCCATGAGCAGTCGTGCTGTGAAGGCCCGGCGAGGGCCGACTCTCACCCCGTGCTTCACAGTCTTGGCTGCGTGTGCGGCCTTCTTCTTGGCGTCGTAGTGGGTGAGGATGTCGATGATCGCCATGAAGTAAACTTCTTTCCGCGGAGCACCTTGTTGGGGGGTGGGGGGCGGTGGGGAGAGGGTCAGGGGTCACACGCGCCGTGCGTGTTGCCACGTCGCCGCGCTCGGTGGAGTTCACCATCGAGCGGTTGTGGTGGTTGACGAACGGCGACTCGCGGAGCCACTTCACCCGCTGGCTCGCTCGTCGAAGGTCGGCCACCTCCTTATCACTCTTCTATTGCTACCACCATGGTCACTGTTCCCGGGGACTTCACTCAGCGCTTCCTCCACCCGTGTTGGGGACTCGGTTTATCAGACACCGACTGTCTCGACTCATTCACACTGCAGGTCACAACCACACACTCATCACACTCACCCACTCACCACACTGCAGGTCACAACCACACACTCATCACACTCACCCACTCACCACACTGCAGGTGATAACCACACACTCATCACACTCACCCACTCACCACACTGCAGGTCACAACCACACACTCATTAAACTCACCACACTGCAGGTGATAACCACACACTCATTACACTCACCCACTCACCACACTGCAGGTGATAACCACACACTCATCACACTCACCCACTCACCACACTGCAGGTCACAACCACACACTCATTAAACTCACCCACTCACCACACTGCAGGTGATAACCACACACTCATTACACTCACCCACTCACCACACTGCAGGTCACAACCACACACTCATCACAGTCACCCACTCACCACACTGCAGGTCACAACCACACACTCATTAAACTCACCCACTCACCACACTGCAGGTGATAACCACACACTCATTACACTCACCCGCAACAATATTATTAGTATTAGTAACCTAGCGGGCTGCAGCTGTTTGTTGTTGGCTGCTTGACGTTTTGGACCTTCAGGGCTTGTGCTCAGCAACCCCCATGCACTCTAAACTAAACTATTTTTTTTATTTTACCAGATAAGGCCCACTGAGCTATATAGCTCTTTTGCAGACGCGACTCTGGCTATCACAAATGATAGCTTAATGGAAGTGGCTTATCGTCACGTGGACATTTACAGCAGCAGCCAAAAAAAACTCTAAACGCGCAATGTTGATTCTAAACGTGGAGGGGAAAAAAACGTGAGGACCCGGAGAAAAATACATGCGATCACGGGGAAGGAGAGAGGGACACGAAAACTCCAAATACACTGCAGCAGGCGTCAAGGGGTCGGGATGTAATCACTGAGAATAATTAAACGGCTATACTAAAACTAAACTAGATATATTTTTTCTCAGGTAAGGCCTGAGCTATATTGCACAAATGATAGCTCAACACAGTGGCTTATCACGTGGAAAATTATAGCAGCCGAATACTCTAAATGCACGTTGATTTTAAATGAGGGGAAAAACCAAATATACAGCAGGCGTCAGGGGTCGGGATCGAACCCACAAACTCATGTAGACCAGGCGAGGGAGTTAACATCTCCTAGGCACCGTGGCGCCCGTCTAAACGCCGCGCAAATTAACTCATTGGCAGGGAGGGCGGCAGCGATGGCGACGGCGGCGGGGGACTCACTCTCGTGGGCCTTGAGCGCGTACACGTCCGTGTTGGGGTCGAACTCGCCGGGCCCCATGGGCTTGTAGGCGGCCACGGAGAAGCCCGAGCAGTCGGGCGGCGTCGTGCCGTAGGAGCCCACCGCCCCCGCGGGGCCGCCCGAGCCGTTGGCGTCCGACCCGGTCTCGTCGTCGCCCCCCGCCCACTCCGCGCCGCCCTCCCCCTCCTCCCCGCCCTCGCCGCCCTCCTCCCCCTCCTCCACGTCGTCGTCGTCCTGATCGGCGCGCTCCACATCGTGGATGCCCACCAGCAGGCTGTAGTCCATGATCTTCAGCTGCGCTAGGAACTGCACGCGGGGTGAGGGGACACACACGCGCGCACGTGACTGGAGTTAACGACAAGTCAGAGAGGCGAGCGCGGGAACTTAGGGGTACCCCCCCCCTCACCCACTGGCCCCAAGCCCCCTAGAAAGCCAGCTCCCTGCCCAGGGGTTGCTCCTGGTCGGGTGGGTTGATCGGGTGAGTGGGTGGGTGGGTCAGGTTGGTCTCATTGGTGGGTTGGTCGGTTGAGTGGGTTGGCTAGGTCGTGTGGGTGGGAGGTGGTTTGGTCAGGTGGGTGGGCGAGTGGGTGACAAGGTTGTTTGGGTGAGTGGCGGATGTCAGATGCATCGCAGCCTCTCATCACACTCCTGCGTCACGATGCGAAGTGGCTCAATGCACGGCGGCGCGGTGCAAGGTGGCAGTAAGCTATAATCTATCCTCTGCTGGATGAAGGCCTCCCCACGTCGTCAACATCCCCCGTTGAGATTCCTGCGACTCCACGACCCATCATCCACGCCGGCGGTCGTGCCGACCGAATTCACGTCGCGCACGCGCACGTAAAAAAAAAAAACCCCATTACTTACACAAACACATTTTATTCAAAATAAAAGTACGCTACATCTCGCTCGTGACCACCACCTGTTAATAAAATCCATGCGCCCCGGGTATGGGTGCCGATTGACGTTCGCACTCAATGCCTGCCAAAAGATCACAACCCCCCCACCGCCCCACACCCTCCAAAGAACAGAGACAAAGATCCTCCCCCGTATAGCGTTAACAGACTGTTTGGGCAAGTGCTGTTAGCGAGCGCCTATGAAGGCCGGAACGGCACCCGAGGATGGCCAGCACCACGCCCGGCCCCCTTTGTCTCCTGACTGGCGATGTTTACACGCCGCACCAGGTACTCATTTGAGGCTAAGACGACCTTGGGAAGGCCCAGGACAGAGTTCAGATATTTGTAACCGACGCTGGCCGTGAGCCGGGAATCAAACTCTGATCGCTGGGTTTGTGGCGCAGCGCGCTAACCGCTGCGCCACCGCTCCAACCCAAGGAACGATGCGCGTAGCTACGTAGCGCCAAACACACACGCTCGGGTCCAGCAGCCCGCTAATAAAACAAACGCACACTCGCTCAAAATAACCTTCCAAGCAGCCGCACAGTCCGTGAGCCCGTACATCTGCCATCCATGTTTAAAGACAAAAGACGGAGAGATCCCATATGTGGCCGGGCTGGGCTGGTGGGGCGCGTGTGGCTAGCGGGCACCTACTGAAGGCTGGCGGAACGGGGGGATAGAGGGTTGGGGGGAGGCGGTGGTGGGTCCGTACCTTTGCTCTGCTGCCCTTGCCTCCGCGCGTAACGTCGTCTACATTGCACAAGGACGTTTTGGGCTGAGTGAACCCGAGTTGGCGGTTCAGGCCAGGTTGAGCGAATCGATGAACAACTCGTGTTTTTTGCGCGGCCAGCTAAATGGGAGTGTGGATCGCCAGGATCTTAGCAGGGTGTACAGAGACCCACACATGTGCGAGTGGGTGGGTGGGGGGGCGGTGGAGGTCAACGCCCGATCCCCGTGAAGATGGAATATAAATGGAAATTAATCCTCGAGATGCACGGCCATCATACCGTGGCAAGCCAGGAGATGGCGACCTCAGGGTGACCTTGGGGTAAACAGCCACGGAGCAAGTCTGCTGTGTTACAGGCCACACGCATCACAGCCAGCAGCATCCGGCTGCCTATGAACCGAATGCTCCCCGGTCGTCCAGAGAGACGTATGCATGTACGTATGTTGAACTTCTTTCGTACCGTACATAGTTAACCCTGCTCATTGGAGCTGCGGCGGAAAGACAACAAACTAAACACAAAAATAAGTTATAATGAAATGAGTTTTCAAACTCGATTTAAAAGTGCATAGCTCCAGTGGCTTCCAAATAATCGGAAAGAAGAGAGTTCCAGACGGCCGCAGAAGAGCATCTGAAAGCGTGCGATGCGGTGAGCCGTTGTTGCGAGGATGACCGGAGTTCACGTGATGGTTTATGCTCCTTGACGAGATCAGCGAGGTATCGTGGTTCATTTGTGGCAAGCACTTCGTGTGTGCAATGTACGTTGAACTTTTTTCGCGTCGTACGTAGCCAACCGTGCTCATTGGAGACAGCGGATGAATCGCTGTTTCCGTCGCGGTTCGGCGACCTCATCATCAGCAGCAGCAGGCGGCGGGGAACGCCGAATGGGAAGACCGCACGCGCGCAATCGACGTGCTGCCCCATACCATGGGGACTAGAGGTCACTCGAAAGACTCTTAACACAAAGTGTGGTTGTTGTTGCACCGCTCTTGCAAGGGATCTGAACGAGATCTTCGTCACATTTGACGTTTGACCCAATGAGAATTAGAACCAAACTGATGAAGCACCCACAACACTCACCACGCAGAGTGGCAGAATGTCGAGCGACTTGATCGTAGGCACTCTCTATGTTAACGACCTTCCCTTGGTATATAGGCATCGGTTCGACCCCGACCCCTGGTGCTGTATATTTGGAGTTTGCGTGTCTCTCTCTCACCCTGTGGTCGCGTGGCTTTTCCTCCGGGTCCTCCTGTTGTTCCCTCCACATTTAGAATCAACATCAAACGTTCAGAGTTGTTGGTTGCTACTTTAAATTTGCACACGATGCGCCACTTCACTGAGCTACCGCTTGTGGCCAGGCCGCTTCTGAAACAGAGTTGTATAGCTCAGCGGGCCTCGCCTGGCAAAATAAGAAATAAGGTCGTTTAATGGTTTTATAACATAAGATTAGGGGACTGATACAAAAAGGCTGCACGTGTCAAAGATTCACCACTTCACTCGAGCTCCTTCCACCCAAAAGGCCAAGCTTCAAGTGCGAGCGTAAAAACCCCGTCCGTCCCCTTCTCCTCGGCGCTCCTTTTCTCAATTCTGGATGACCACCGCCCCCGCCACCCCCTACCGCTCCACCGAATCAGACGTCAGCTGTTGTTCCTCGGCGCCACATTTCAGCTGCTCGGCGCTCGCGATCGCAGAGTCCCCCCCAGAGGAAACCACAGACAAAGACACTCCCCCCCCCTTCCGCCCCATAGCCTTTAATAGACTGCAGGGGCAAGTGCTGTTGGCGAGCACCTATGAAGGCCGGCACGGCGCACGAGGGTGTGGGTGGCCGCCGATGTTTACCCACCACACCAAGTACTCATTTGAGGCTGAGTAGACCTTGAGGAGGCCCAGGACTGGTTCAGCTAATCGTCACTGGTGTTGGTCGTCAGCGGGAATCGAACTTGGGTCGTCGGGTTCTGCTCCCCAAAAAGGCAAAGATCCCCCCCCCCCCCCCCCCCCCATATAGCCTTAACAGGCTGTTGGGCCAAGGGCTGTTAGCGAGTAGCATTGATGGAAGTCGGCACGGCACACGAGAGGGGGGGTGTGGCCAACACCACACCTGGCCGCCTTTGTCTCCCTAGTGGCGCTGCTTACTACGCACCGCACCAGGTACTCGTTTGAGGCCGAGTAGATCTCAAGGACCGGTTCAGTTCACCGTCACCGATGTTGAGTGGCCGTCAGCGGGAATCGAACTCGACTCGTCGGGTTCCGCTGCCCACACCCACAAGCCGCCCCCCACCCCCTCTCTCTCCCTTAGTGCCCCCACCGCCACCACCCCCATAGCTGCTGGCCCAGATCTCACATCAGAAAGTAAACTGTGCTTCGCCTGCACGCGGCGGCCAATCGCGCGCGAGGGAAGTCTGTGTGGAGTGAAATGGGGGAGAGGCTGCGTGGTCCGTCAGGGACCCGTCACGGCTGGCTCTTGCGCGAGCTCCGATTCAATTACCCTTCCCACAATCGCCTGGCAGGGAAACCACCCACTGAGACGCAACAATGAGATTCGTTTTGTGAACTAAACAAAAAAAACGAAACTGGTAAAGACCACTGAGCTGTTTTTATACTTTTTTGAAATGCGACCTGTCTATCACAAATGATACCTCAGCGAAGTGGCTTATCGTCGCGTGGACATTTATAGCAGCAGCCAAATACTCTCAGCGTGTGGTGACGTCGAGTATAGAAGTGGAGGGAAAAAACAGAGGACCCGGAGAAAAATCGACGCGACCACGGGGAGAGAGACACCACACACTCCAAATATACAGCAGGCGTCAGGGTCGGGATCAAACCCACGACCTTTGCTCCCCCCCCGCCCCCCGCTGCTTTCCATCCGAGCAAGCAATAGGGCAGCAGCACAATGCAATTTCATCCCGTAGCATCTTGAGACACAAACGAGGTGCTGCCGCTAGACCGTGAACAATCGTTCGGGGAGGCTGGGCGACGCCAAGTGACACCCGAGTGGCGGGGGAGAGCCATCGCAAGCCGAGCTCCTCAAGGGCGCATAAACACCGTAGCCACGCCAACTCCGATCATCCTCGCAGCAGCAGCAGCAGCAGCAGCGGGGGCTTTTTGGCTGGCGATCGAACAAAGACGGTCACCGCATCGCGTGCTTTCAGAAGCGCTTCTGCGGCCGTCTGGAATGCTCTTCCTTGTGATATTAGGAATCCTCTGGAGCTGTCCAATTTTAAATAATCTGTACAGAAAACCAATTTATTTAGAACTGCTTTTTGTGTTTAGTTTGTTGTCCTTCCCCCGCACCTCCAGTTAGCACAGTTGGCTACCTACAGTGCGAAATAATTTTAACATATATCCATACGTACAGCTGCGTGGTTAGCCGTGCCCGCGCGTGTTAAGTGGTGCCCAGCTGGGATGTGGGCCCAGACACACCAGCAGAACCACCGCTTTTAAGTCTTTATGAAAGCCATCATTTGCATGTCACACCGTGTGGAATAATAACGATAACGATGGCAGTAATAATAATGCCGTAGAATTATCCAGGGAAGTCTCACTGAGCCACGGGGGTGCCGCCTTTATAGGCGTTCGAATTATTGACCTTGATTTTGAAGCATTCCACACGGTTGTCAATAGCACTGCCCTATAGAGGACAACATACAATAGGTGACATTTTGTGGCAATGGCTCCTTCTTCACAGCAAA